CTATCTTCCAGACACGATATCAATGTGAGACAAATGGAGGAAAAGTTTAGAAACAAGCAGCAATCGGACCGCAGGGTGTCTGTGGCCTCGTGTCTATAATTTTTCCGTGCCCTGGCTGACCCCGGTAGTCGGCTCCCCATAGCGGCCGCGCTCCTGATTGGCGGCGTGTGCCGAGCCCGGCCCGCGATCCACCCGCCGCCCGTGGAGCTGCTGCGGTGAGTCCGGGCCCGCGTTCTGCCCCGCCCCCTCCCGAGAAGCCAGCCCTGCGGCCCCTCACGCGCCCGAGACCCTAACCGTGTCCCCCGCAGGGCCCCGCGGCGCGGGCACCGGCTCACGCCGGCCGACGACGAGCTGTACCAGCGGACGCACATCACCGTGCTGCAGCGCGAGGCCCCGCACGTCGCCTACATCGACAGCTACAGCCCCCGCGGCTTCGTGGTCAACGGGAACCGCGTGTTCGGGCCCTGCGCGCTGCTCCCGCACTCGGTGCTGCAGTGGAACGTGAGCCCTCCCGCCGCGGGACGCCGAGGCCGGGCGCAGGGGGAACCTGCGTGGGTTTGCTGCCTGTAACCTGTCCCCTCCCTGCACAGGTCGGCTCCCACGTGGACATCACGGAAGAAAGCCTCTCTCTCTTCTGGATGCTGGAGCCCCCGATAGGTATCGGAGGAGGGAAGGGCTGGGGTGCGCCCGGCCCGCCAGCGGCCTGGTTGTAGACCTGCTGTGTCCGTCCCGCCCTAGAGATTGTGGTGGTGGGCACCGGAGACCGCGCGGAGAGGCTGCCGCCGCCGGTGCTGCGCGCCATGAGGCAGCGGGGCATCGCCGTGGAGGTGCAGGACACGGTCAGTCGGGGGTGCTGCGGGAGGGGACGTGCGGGTGCTGCGGGGAGGGGAGCGCGGCCGGCCCAGCCCAGCTGATGCTGGCTCTCTCTGCAGCCCAATGCTTGTGCCACTTTCAACTTCCTGTGTCATGAAGGCCGAGTGACAGGAGCTGCTCTCATCCCCCCACCTGGCGGGACTGTGCTCGCACCTCTGGCCCACGCTGCTGAGTGAAGCTCCAGGGACCCCAGACCTTCCCAGTAGCGCCTGGCACCCGCGGAGCGCAGAGCCCCTCCCTGCAGCCTGTGACGCGTGTCTGCTTACCCGCCAATTAATAACTTAATCCACTCGTGTCGTGTTGTGCTGGGTGCGTTCTGGCCAGGGGCTGCCGCTCAGTGGGCCTGTGAGGAACCAAGGGGTCCTTTCATCTAAGCTACACGGCCCAGCAGAGGCCGAGGCCGTGCACACCCCCCCAAACCACAGATCTGCCCACTTGCTCACAAGCAGGTTGGAAGTGATCTCGATTTCCCCACAAGGTTTACAGATTCAGTCTAGACAACACCCATGAGGGTCTCAACCTGGACCCGTGTGGGCCAAGCTTTGGGCCAGCAGAAGGCTCTGTGGATGCTGGTCCCAAGCCCGTGGGCCTGACCCCTAAGCTCGAACCCTGGACCCTCGGGAGTCGTGGCTGCTCAGGGCTGGCTTGTGAGCTGCCTCAGGAGAGACATTTTGATCTGCCCCCTCCGCGTCCCTGGAGCCACCCCGACCCCAGGGCTGAGGCTCCCCCTGGAAACCGGGTGCTGTGTTTCGTGCTTGTGCGACGCTTGCAGCGGCGGAGCCCCACCTGCCTTCTGACCTCAAAGACCAGGCATCACTTTTTTCAATTTTTTATTGAAAAACCAAGGAACTATGCTGGAATCCCTTTTCAGAAAAGCCGCTTCTCATACCTGTAGACAGAGGACCAGCTGTGAGGTGAGGGCGGCAGGCACAGCAGGGACCTCCACCCCGGGGGCGGGTGGGAACGGGTTGGTCACTTACGAATGGAGGCTGTGGACGCCACCTTCCACCTGAGCGGAGGACGTTCTCTTCTCGAACTTGAGCTCCCCAGAGTACATCATGGCTCTGGAAGGGCAGGTGGCAGCTGTGGGCAGCCGGCCTTGGGGCAGCCTCTCTGCCCACGTGCACGCTCCCCAGCTTACCTGACTTGGGTCAAACTCTTGGCACCGATGTCCTGGCAGGAGTGCTGGATGCCGGCGATCAGGTAGGGGACAAACTTGTGGATGGACCCTTTGTCCTGCACCGCCCCAGACACCCCCTGGGCCACCTTGATTTTGTCAGCTTCACTGCAGTGAGAGGCAAGAGACAGGGTCAAGGTCAAAGCACAGATGAAGCTGCCAGTGCAGGGGTGGCAGAAGGTAACTGACCTTCCTGTCCCACCTGAAATAGCGGTTCTGGCTGCTGAGATGCTTGTCCATGGCGTCGAGAGAGCCCATACCGCGGTACTTCTTTAGCCGGATCCCATCGGAGAAGAAGTACTCGCCAGGGGCCTCAGTGGTAGCGGCCAGGAGGGAGCCCATCATCACTGGGGAGAGAGGGAGTGCTGGGGCAGCCCTGCCTGGCCATGGGAAGGGGTCCCCCCAGGCTCCCGAGGTGCTGGGCCTCACCTGTGGAGGCCCCGAGGGCCAAGGCTTTGGCGATGTGGCCCACATTTTGGATTCCTCCATCAGCGATGACAGGAACGCCGAAGCGCCGCGCGTACTCGGACACCTTGTACACTGCCGTGGCTTGGGGCCGCCCACAGGCCAGCACTATGAAAAGATGGAGGGACAGATGGGCGGGTGGAGTTGGTGGGGACAGGCAAGGGGCCCTGTGGCCACAGCTGCAGCCAGCAGCTTTCAGCTACACCTGCACCAGGACTGCAGCCTGGCTGAGGACGAGTCACGTCTGGGGCGGCTGCACCTCTGTCTCAAACAATACAAACAGCTGTGGTGGCCGCCACTCACCGTGTGCACGTGCACTGCATGGCCAGGGCAGCCTCAGGGACATGCAGTCAGCAGCCGGGAAAGCCCCGCCCACCTGGCATCAGGTGGGTAGGGTCACTGTGCAGTTAGTACCCGAGGCCCTCCCTTCCTCCCTACACGGTGGGCAGCTCAGGCAAGAGAGGGGCGGTCGCGTGGAAAGAAGAGGGTGCTCGAGTTGGTCCCTGAGCTGTGCCCGACTGCAGCTGTGGGCAGAGCAGGGCCTGCTGGGGAGAGGGCCTGCCCTGTAAGCACCCTGGGAGTGAGGGGCTGGGTTTTGAGTAGCCCCCCAAAACCATGGTCTGTCATTCAGTCTGCCCTGCCCACCCCGTCAGCATCACAAACCCCGGGAGCTACAGCTACAGTCAACCAAGCAGCCGGGCAGTGGGCAGCTGGG